GTATTTTTTTATTTTTTCATTTAAAGATTGAATATTTAATAACAAATTTATAGAATTGTCCAAATAAGTTATAGAACAATTGTACTTATTCTTCAGGTGTTGAAGTTTCTTGAGACTGTGTTTGAGTTACACAATGTTAATGATAGGAGAGGAATACATGTTAAGTTGTGCATCCCCTGCCCTTGTAGTAAGAATACTGAACATATGCAGATACTGGGAGATTTTAAACAAGACTTGCTTCCATGTGGACGAGACCGAGTGAGAATAACACGCTACCAACAGTTATTTGGAGATGGTAACATAACTGAAAAAGGTTTGTGACAAAGTGAATTGTTTTAATTACAATATGTAATTTTTTTGGGAATTCTAAAATGCAGTCATGTTATGCCATGGCTAGAGATACGGTACCGTATTTCTACTTCATTTTGCTAAAGGTACGGTAAATGACATTACGTTACCATCACCCAATGAAGTGCCAGAATGTGCCTGACGTCATTTTTTGAAGACATTGCATATCACCCGCAATGAGCGGTGGAAGGAGAACGATGTACTGGGAAATTAGAACATCAAAAGTACAATAATGTTTGACTTTACTGTCATCGTTAAATAGGCGTATGGTCCCACTTTATAGTAAAGAGTTTCATTTAGCTAGGCCTATATATAACCATTATCAAAGAAGGACTGATTTCTATACCAAACTCTTGGCATTCCTCTAGGGAATCTGCCTCTAGGCCTTGCTTTTAAATTCTGCGGCTCTGCTCTAGTGACATAGGTGTGGGTGGCATATATCAGTCATAAACACAGTCTTACCAAGTCTGAAGTTCACAATCCCCACATCCCAAGTTTTAGTCCAAGATGCCTAGATTATCTTATCCGACCAAAATATTCATACACTTTGAATGCACAAAACTTTATGTAGACTTTGTCACTCTCATGGTACAGAATCTAGGCCTAGAGTTTCCCCTTCGTGATTAGGGCCTATTGATTAGTGTCAAATTTTTCGAATCTAATTTTGATGCTGGGCCATTTAATGCAGTACTACGGTATATAAAATGCTAGGCCTGTATGAATCCTCTTGTTTACAGTATATTCAATTTTTTTATTGCAAGTACTTGTCATATAAATAGATTACCAAAGACTAGCAGTAGTGTGTGTATATATGTGCCTTGGCCTACTGTAAGTCCTGAGGATGATGACTTGCTTGATGGCTATATAAATGACATGACTCTTATTATTGAATGGAACCCAATTACGCCTATTTGTCGATGACAGTTTTATAAGAATATACTGTACTCTCTTTGCCTAGCTAATCATCTGCTAATAAAGTACATTTTTCGCTAGTCACACACTGTTCACCTCACATGACAAGCACTAAAAATTGAATATACACAAGAAGATTCATAAGGCCTCCTAACATTTTATATACTGTAGTACTGTTTTAAGGGAGGTTTGCAATTAAATTATTTAAAAAAATTTGACACAATAGTAATAATCACGAAGGGGAAACTCATTCTCTCGATCTAGGCCTAGATTCTGTACCATAACAGTGACGAAGTCTAGCCCTACGAAAAGTTTTGTGCATTCAAATTGTATGAATATTTTGGTCAGATTGTAAAGCGTGGTTTTATTTCGAGTATATTAGGCTTCTTGGACTAAAACTTTGGATGTAGGGATTACGAAGTTCAGACGGTATGATCACGGAGGAACTAGGCTAAGTTTATGACTGATATACAGTATGCCACCCAGATCAATGTCACCAGAGCAGCTGCCGCGAAAAGCAGAATTCAAGCAAGGCCGAGCAGGCCTTGCTTGCTTAGACTTTTCGCCAAGTGAACTGATTTAAGCAAGGCCTAGAGGGATTTCAAGAGTTTGGTGGAATCAGTCCTTGTTTGATAATTGTTATACCATGGTTATACATAGGCCTAGCTTAGTGAAACTCTTTACTAAGTGGAACCATGCGCCTATTTATCGATGACAGATACTAAGTCAAACAATATTGTACTTCTTGATGTCCTAATTTCCCAGTACTGTATATCGTTCTCGTTTCACTGCTCATCGCAGGTGATCTGCAATGCCAGTCTTGAAAAATGATGTCACGCACATTCTGACACTTCATTTGGTGATGGTGACGTAATGCCATTTACAGTACCTTTAGCAAATTGAAGTAGATATAGGTACCATATCTCTAGCCACGGCGTTCATGTTGACATTTCTTTATAGTTACTTATTTCCTTTGATTTGGATTCTGAGTTGATTTTCTATGGCTGTTTATTAAAAAGAAAGCCTACAAATTCCATCTACATGTTGTTCATAGAGGGCCACATAATGGCGAAGCTCATTTGTAGGTTTCTGATGATTCCAACATATTATAGAAAAACTGTAAATGTTGGTAATTTAAACCAGGAAACACTGAGGTTACCAGTATTAGTGTATAGAAAATACTACAGCACCATGAAATAGGCATGTTTCATGGGCAAAAGTTCAAGGAAATGAATTGAATGTTTTGATTTCAAGATAATTGGGCAAAATCCTCGGCAAAAAATTGCAGACGTAAATTGCACTCGCCTCCGCACTACGTCAGAAATTTGCATTTTTTAGTGTCTCCCTAACTTATGCCCTAACTACAGCTAAAAGGGGTTATCTATCATCGAAACTACATCAAACAACAGCTACCGAACAAAAGCTCACCTGACTAGGCCTAACGTCGATCAATGTAGTATAAATTAATTTGGTCATAATTTAACAAGTTCTAGACCTACCTATTTAACTATCTAGCAAAGGTTTGCCCTAAGCCAAGAAAGCATTTTTCCCTTCATGGAAATGTGTGACGTGATAATTTTGAGCGCTTTTCTATGGCCGCCTCAAATTCATTTGATAAATCATCCTTACCCATTCGATTAACAGGTAAAACATGTACACAAAATAAACAAGTCAACCACTAAATATTTAATTTATTTATATATTGAAGTTTATTTCGTAAAAACAGCAACATTAAAACATATGGTATATTATAATAATAGTATAAATTAATCATTAATTTGACGGCTGCTTTAAAATGAACATATGTCAAGTATAGAGTACCCAGGCCTGAATCTACCAAAAATCTTCCACGCCCTCGTCGTTCGCCGCCGCCTGTAACAACAACATGCTTAGGCCATTGTGTTTACAGCAAGCATGAATACATCGGCTTGACTGTGGTAATTCCTGGTTTTTAAGCACGTCTTACTTGGCATTGTTAAATTAGTTACTTTACACGATTAAAATAAATGTTTAATTTTAGTTTACACACAATAATAAACTGAAAAATGTTAACATTCTGTGTGTATACAAGCTGAAATTTCTTTAGGCCACTTGCTAGGCCTATAAAAAGGAGCCTCGGCAAATTGGTGCCGTGGTAAGCTTGCTAAGCGTCGGCAATTACCTCAGCATTGCCGAATGCCGACGCTAATTTCAAGGGCTGCACACATCTGGTCACTAATGCCAAGATCTGACCCCATAGCACTGGGGAATAGAGGATATCATAACATCATGTTGATATTCGAGCACTGTACTATTTATCTATTTGAAAGTTTTACTGAACGTCTAAAATGAATTTGTACTTCATAGGAAGTGTTTTGGATGATGAACAGTTACTCAGATTGTGTGATGCAATGGATAGCAATTGGAGAAGGCTTGGAGTTCAGCTTGGATTAAGTCATTCAGAAATACAGAAACTTGAAAGTGATAATGTTCAAGAAAAGGATGCAGTGATGTTTGTTTTACTTTACGTTATAATCAGGTATGAAACTTCCTATAGGATTAATAAAGTTACCATCTATCCTTGTATTATAATTTTATAAACAACCATATTGCTTTCTATAGGGTTTCTTCATGATGATGACCTGATGCTTATTAGTAATGGAATTGGCATTAAGTATCCGGAAGTTGCAGTACGTCTTGGTCTTACATGGACCGATGTGTCATCAGCAAAAACACAGCATCATGGCCATATTTTTTATTCATCCATGGAGCTGTTGACCAAATGGCGACAGCGGCAGACTCATTCTACGAATCAACTCCAGATGATGTGTGAAGCGTTGGAACACGAAGGATTTTCCTCTGTTGTGAAGCAACTACGACCTAATGTGGAAGCATCTTCAGTTCTTTGTGAAGGTATTCAAAACAAGCTGATTGCTATTTATCTCTGCAGAAAATTTGTAAATAGTTACATATATCACAGGCCCATATGCAGGATTTTTATTGGGTGGGTGCGAATTTTTAGAAAGTGGACCAAAATGGCTCCAGGGGGAGGGTGCCTAGGGGGAAACCCTGCTGGGATCGAGGTTAATGGTGGCGCCAGGATTTGCCCGACAGGAGGTCTGAGAATTGAGAGGGTATGGGATGACTGGACTTCTAGGAATTGAAATTTAGGGGACAAGGGAAGCACTTTCACAGATTGAGGGTTATAACACCTCAGCCCCACCCACATAGCAATAATATTAACAATGTATAGAATCAATAATAAACATATACACACATATTTACCAAGAACAAAATTGCAAAAATATGGATCAGTATTATGCCCAATGCTGACTAATATTTTTCTTTTATTTCTCAAAATAATGTGACTTTGACAGAATATCAAATATACCCAGCTTTGTAAAATAATTATATAGGCATGTAGGAATGTATTTGTTGTCATCAAGTTTTCATCTGTGTTACATAATTGATGAACATGCCGTATTCGTACATTTCCTTTCAGTTTGTTTGGATGATAAAACATTGCTTAGTATTTGCGATGAAATGAAAAGTGATTGGAAACTTGTGGGTGTTCAATTAGGACTGCAATTATCAGAAATAGACTGCATAGAAAAAGACAACAAACCTGTGAAGAATGCAATAATGAAAATGCTTGTGTCTTGGAGGGATAAACAACCATCCAACATCAACCAACTAACTACAATGAGTTCAGCTCTTGCTGAAAGGGGATATAGTCGGCTTTCTGATCAATTGACAGGCAACTGGAATTATGAAGAAGTATATTCAGGTAGAAATTTAGTACAAAAGTAATGATATGGTTGTTAAGGAGGTCATATCTTAAAAAATATCTTTTGTATTTTTGTGTAAATAGTAAACCATAGTCAAATATATAATCTTGCTTTGTGTGATATTAGTTGTGTGTGATGCAGCGTGTAAGCATTGTACTTTCAATCAGAAAGGCTTTAAAATTAAATTAGATATAGACTTGACAACATTGTTGCTGTGAATTGAGATTTAAAAAAGTCATTAAAAGGTGCATTAAATAGTGAGAATAGTGCTGATTAATAGGGTTGTATTGTTAAGTCTCTCTGCAATATTTGGTCAATTGTTTACAAACTAATCATTTAATGTTTTAACAATATTTTGTGGGTCTGTTATTTTTTATCCATTATGCATAAAGCATTGAAAGCTTTGATTTGGAATACAACCTGAAACAGAATTAATAGTTTGCCAAGTCTTGTATATCAATTAATCAATCAATCAACTAACTTTTTATTTCAGATATTATATCCATATACAGTAAAAAAAACCCCTCCTTTAGGACACCCCTATTCAGGGGACACGTCTATTAAGGGGACACTTTTCTGTGAAACGAGGGGCGATATATCTTATAACACTGCGGCCAACCCCTATTAAGGGGACACCCCTATTAAGGGGACTTGGACACTATCTGAGTGTGCCAAATGGTCAAATAACCTCTATTAAGGGGACACTTATTTTTTTGTCTAATGTATCGCAACAAATACAAAGACTCAAAATAAGAAAAAATCACTAAACTTAAAAAAATTGACCCATTTAGAGCAACATATTAAGGAACTTTTACCACCTTTCTACTGCTGATTGTCAAGGGCAAGCTTTTGTTAGACTACGTAATAATATAGGTGTAATTTTTGCCCTACCTGACATGGAAATGTACTGAATACTCAGTACGTTTGAAAAAAATTGCGAAAAAAATAATACGTAATAATAATAATAATAGTAATAAATGTAATAATAATAATAATAAATGTAATAATAATAATCATATAAGTAACAATAATAATAAAAATAATAATAATATTTTATCTAAAATTGCAAAAATAATTTTGAACCAAGTAAAATAATCATTTTTTGAAGTGCATACATTTTGGATTGGCAGTACTGTACTGTTTATATCAAAAGGGTCCAAGATTACGGATTTTAGTCTATTAATTCGCTATCACCTACAATGTTATTGAATGGAAATAAAATACCTGTACAACTAAAACAGACCCACTTACTTACGGTCATTGTTACAACATTGACTGTAAGAAATAATACTACAATTTTTACATTTTATGATTTTATTTGTAGGTTTACATCGTATGTAACAACTCATAAGTATGCTTTTGAAAAAGCAGACTATCAAAACAAAATTAAAATTCAAGTAAGGTACAAAAAAGTCACTCATAAAACAAAATGATCCATGTAATAGTACCAGAGCAGCAAGTCCTTTCTTCTTGGGCCCAGACCTGAGAGCACGGACTGACTCTGTTTCTGGCATAATAAACACTTTCATGTCAATCCTATGTTGCTTTCAGTGAATTTCGTGAAATGATTTTTATATTTTTGCCAGGCATTTAATTGAAATATGAAATTATTCTATTTTAGATCATCAACCTTCAGCATGTGCTTTATGCAGTCTCTGTTCTGATGATGAATTCTCGCTGCCAAATCTATCAAACGTTCAACACGGTATGAATTTCTCAATTCAATTTCTCATTTTTATTATAGTCTGTGGCTATAATACCCAAATATTAATACTTGTACCCAAATATTTATATAGCGCCAATATCGATGAATTGATCAAAGGTGCTGAGCGTTGTTACCCCTGGTCACTGGATAACATGCAATGGTAAACCAGCACAAAGTGCAACATTCTCTGCTCCCTGGGGAGTATACCTAGTCGTTTGCTACTTATTTAGCACACAAAACAAATACATTCAATGAAACAACATCCTACCAGGTACCATTTATGCTCCTGGGTAGAGAGAGACAAACATAGATAATGTGCCTTGCCCAAGGACATAAGCGACTTGCACAGCGAGAGTTTCGAACCTCTGATCTTAAAGGTTGGGAGTCCAAGCCACAACCGATGCGCCAACTGCTTCTATTGTTACACCGTCTTAAACCAATTCCTGATTCATATTGGATGTTACTGTCCTAATTCCATCCATGCAATAACATCCAATCAGAATTAGAAACTGGTTTTTAAGACTGGTGTAACAATACCCATTGTCTATATTATAATACTTTTTCATTTAGCAATTAATATAACTTACCTTATTCTTTAATACCTCAATAGAGTGTACAATGGATGAGCAAGACTTCCGAGGAATTCTGTTAGAAATATCTAAAAATTTGGATGAAGAAGATCTGTGGGTTTTAAAAGTTGCGCTCACTGATCTCATCAAAGATGCACACACACATGTTGAAGCAAATCAGGCAACTCAACTCTTTGAGAGTTTGATCAAACAAAATGTCCTGAGCCCAAATGACATGCGCATTCTGCCTGAAGTATTCCAGTTAACAGGTTTAAATTATTTGCCGCGAATCATCAAAGGATGCCCACAGGTGAAGGACATTCCAATTACTTTCTTTTCCAAGTTCCGCCAGTCTGTAGTTGCCTTTGGAAGAGCGCTAACTGCCAGCCTTACAAGAGAGATCGAATATACATTTTTTGGTACAGAAAAGTTGTACAAGAACAAATGGGATCTGATGATGAAACTGGAAATGAATCTTAAACTTTGCAATAATGACAAATCAATAGAGAGCTTTAAAGCAAAATTCAGTAATCATGTAGCAAATAAGCTAAGATAAATCTATCCAAATACTACAAGAGCTGAAAACAATGCTTATAATTGCAACTTTGGGAATTATACTCTATATAAGGGTAATCCAAAGAACAATGGTGGATATATATATATATATATGTATATATATATATATATATTGAAGGAAGTTAGCCGTTAACACTGCTGAATAAATATAATATAAATCATCAAAGGTACATATACAGTGGACCTGTTCAACCATGAAGCCTTCGTGGTCTAGTGGTTATGATGCTCGCCTTGTCAGCGAGAGGTCGCAGGTTCGAATCCCGTCGGAGGCATTTTATTACACAATGACTTTTATAGGACTTTATTCGTTGAAAAGCTACCAAGATCTGTCTCTTATACACATCTAGATGTGTATAAGAGACAGATATATAATTTTATATACTGTATTGACAGTTTCTACTTAAATTTTAATATTTGATTTTAAATTCATTATACTAAAATTATTCTGTAACATAAAAATATTTATAAGCATTTTCATTATTATTAAGAGGAATCTGTGAGTGCAGAAAATGTTGCTCAAATTGGGATTTGTACCCAGAATCTTCTGTTTTCTAAGCAGCGCTACTGGGATTTCCTTATTAGAAATTTCAAACTGATTGGAAGAAAATACATATACAGTACTACTTGTTTATACCCATACACACGTAATTAATATATAGAAAATTGAAATCCAAATCGGATTTATATTAATAATGTAATATAAAATTAACTTTTTTTTTAATTTGATTCAAACAAATAACAAATTGTGACCAATGATGTGAAAATGCATGTTATTTTACATATTATATCTATACATATAAAATGCAAAATTCACAGATAAAGTCATCTAAAAACAGTCACATATAAAAAAAACAGCAAAACTAACAATTAAAAAAACCCTAAATTAAAAAAAAAAAAAAAAAGAATCATCAAGAGCTGAAATAAGTCTTATTACGATTGGTGGTTTATTTGTCGCAAATACGTGAATGGCCTTTTAATCAATGAAGTAAGGAACCAGTCCTATGAAACTGGTATTGAAACTAAATAGTGATATTACTAGATATACTATTATGTATTATTAGAAATAAAGTTTCTGCCATGAGAGACAGATTAAGAGGTGGGGGCATGCCAGCTCCCTTATTTTCTACAAACAATTCAAACCCCAAACCGTCAATCCGACAAAAATAGCAAAGCAACTTGTAGAAGTAAATAGGCGATGACATGGCTCTTAAATCACTATCGGCCGTTATTCCCTGTTGTTTTTAGAACAGAATTGTTATATTTTTCAGGAGGCTTCTGCACCTAAACTTTAATGGAGTTGCATCAGTGGGGGTAGATTATGGACCCCATTGTTGAGACCTCACTAATGCGGTCAGAAAAGTTCAATGCAATTTTTCGGGATGTCTTACGGTACTCTAAACGATAAAGCTTTGATGGTGCTTCACAGGTCCATTTGCAAAGTAATTAATACACTCTCACAATGCAGGAAAGGCCATTCCCAACATCTTGAGAAAAAAAATTTGCCAGAAGATCCTCCTCAATTGTATCTAACGTATGTAATATCTAACAATGTAATAACTGAAATTGAAAGAAATCCATAGTCTTTCAGACCCCTTAGAATGCAAGAATGTGCAAATCTGAGCATATGGAAAACAAAATCTTCATCCTGTGAAGGGCCCGGACCCCCTCCAAATGCCACTACTTAGCACCGAGTCTGCTTTGTTTCAAGGCTTTCACACTGCATCCCAACTCCTGGCTCCAGTCACAATGAAACTATCAGAAATTTGAAGAAATATAAAGTTTATATCATACCCCTGAGAAGGCAGGAAGATGCATATCCAATCAATTAGAAAACAAAATGTTTCCAGGGGATCGGACCTCGTAACATACTCTCCCTTCTAAATCAGTGGCGAATTGTAGAGTAAATTGTAGTGTATGCTAGGGGCTGCTAGAGGGAAATGTGTTAGCCTATAGTCAAAGACTGCGTGTTATAAGGTTAAAATACAAATATTTCCACAGCCACATTTGGAATAAACGCATTCGTCAAATTAACGCCCCGGGGTGTTCATTTTTTCCTCCAATACATGCCCCCTAGATTGTACAAAAAATAATAGAAGCAACATCAATGTTAACCAGCCATTAAGGAAATTTTTAGAAGACAAAAATTCTTGTACAGACAAACATCTTTACTCAATGAAAATTCTAGAAAAATACTATGGTCTCCTTTAATCAATGTTATTTGGACTATGCATGCTCATTTTGGTTTTTGACAACCACACAGAAATTTAAAAACAAGCATAGCACACGCCAAAGTGAATTAAACTTCCGCCTAAATCATTAAAAACAACTGATAGCACATTCTATGTCTCTCGCTATTCAAGAATAGAACAGACAACTAAAGCAAGAGGAAAATAAGCGTTTAATAGCGAAAACTCTAAATATAAAGTGCGGTGTTGACGCTGTTATCCCTACCAGTATGTGTAACCCTACTCCCACCCTGCTTACAAAGCACCCCCACCACTCACAGTCCCAGTATCTTAATGCATTGCAAAACTTTCTAATGTGACAGTGTACAGAAAATTCACTCTGTAGCACATGGACCAACATTTCCCAACAATGTACTATCGGTGTACGTCACAAAAAACCAAATCCTACCCAATAAGCCTATCAGGCTGTGAAGTTGATGTAATACCCCATACAAATCACTAACTCCCATTCCTATCTAAATGCATTGACCAACTTCTTTAAAGTAAAATATTATGACAGTACACGAACAAAATCTGATATGTATTTATTGGTAGTGGTGTTGCCAGACCTCAAGTTATACTTATTCCTCCTTAATGCTCATACCACTCCGCCCCCATCCTAAACCCCAGTCATTTCCCTACTACAGTATATCATTTTTGCGTTGACCAAATATTCTAATAAGCCCAGTACTTTGACAACCAGAAAAAGAAAAATTGACATTTTACTCTGAGGTACAGATTTTTTCTCTGCTCCCCTTATCCATGCACCAATTCTCACCCACGAAAGACAAAAAAGAAAATGAATGTATCATTAAACTTCTAATAATAGCCTGGGTTACTATTCTTTGATTGTTTTTTTTTTATGATGGGTTACTATTAGAGTATGAAAATATAAACACCCATTTATTGATAAACTCAAAAACACATATCATTCCCTCATCTTTTTTTTTACCCAGCCCACCCCCACACCCCAATAACAAAAGTTATACAAAAAATCATTATTTTGAATTAAAATTGGAACAATACTCTAACTATTAGAGTGGGGTTACTAATAGAGTAATGGGTTATTAATAAAAATGAGTAATCCTTACCTATTAATTAACATTAAAGGTACATTTATCCATCATCATCCATCAAAAGGCTTCTTAAATAATATGAATTGAATGGACTATTCGAAGCACGAACCCCTGTACACTAAACCACGTACCATTTCAATTTTAATTGTATGTAGAATTTACTCATAATACACTCGGAATGCAAAACATTTTCATGCATAGTACAAGATTGGGGTGGTAAGAGCATGGAGACTTTCATAGAATAGATCATAATCACTGCAAACTACCAAATGATATGAGGAGTGAATCCAGAAACGTTCTGCCAGGGTGGAGAGGGGGGTGGTGTGATGGGTGTCCACACACAAACTGTGATGGGAATGCCAATGCATTAAGATAGGAAAATGGCTAGGATTTGGTGCTTTGTGGGTTGTGTGGGGTGTTTCTTACATCACCCTCCCAACCTGATATCATATAAGATTGAAGTTTTTTTAAGACGTACACTCATAGTTCAAAATTTGGTTTATGTGCTAGATGGGTTGAAGTTGACCAGTTTTGGTGTTTTTCGAAGGGGACTGGGAATCGTACCCAACCCCTGGGGTTCATCTTACATGCTTTTCCAATGAATTTGACGGAAAAACCAAATTAGGGGTGGGGGGTCAAACCTTCTAGGCAAAATGGGGTGAAATCGTCTGTTGCAACGGTGGCAGAAGCAGGGGCCATAATAGCCCCTCTACTTTTTCTACTGGGGCCTTCCCCCTCCCCAACTTTTTGTGATTGCTCCCAGCACCAGTGACAAGCATCATTAACAAACGTTATACAATGTCATTATTATTATTAATATTATTACAGGTATTATTGTTATAATTATTATTTGGTGCTTAGAGACCTTGTTTATTTTCGCTTTATAAAGCGACCTATTGTTATTATAAGTACCCATTTTGAGTTGAGCAACCAGTTTGTACTATATTGATGTCTGTAAAGTACACATCTGTAAAGTTTCCTTGAAGCCTATCCTTGAGCAGGAAGAAAACAATGGAATCGCTTGCTCGCCTTGCGTAAATCCTTTAGCCGCAGGGCGGAGGTATAGGCACTCTTTATAGTGCGACGCTCTAGTTCTCTTTTTGTTATTCATGAAGATGTAAGTAACTGATCTAGCGTAATATAACCACATTACCATTTACTAACGAAACAGTAAGGTACCTAATTGGGCCATTTATTAAAATAAAGTTCTCTGAATGTTGAATTTTTAGTACATGGTAGTTAATGTATTGTAAAATCTGTAGTGAAAATCTTTTAGCTTGCCATTACAAATAAATCATTTGTGAAACAAATTGATAGGCTATGTCAAATGTTATATTAAACAGTGGCGGATTCAAGTGAGAGCCCAGCAGGCACGAGCCTCCACCCTCCTAAATTTTTAAAAATTGAGAATACAAAATTATATAATCATAATATCAACCGGGTTCCTTAGCAACCCCTTGGCCATCCTAGGTGGTTGTAGTTTCTTCTCAATAGTTTTCTTATTCCAGTACATTTAACAAGTTGCAATTTAATTTATAGAAGTTTCTTCTATACCGGTTGTCTGTATGCAGATTTTTTTTTTCTTTAATCTATTGCTTGCTGGCGTTTAGCTGGTATTGAAAACCAACCATGAGGAAATTCTAAGCAGCTGAGAGTACGATGCGATAAGCCTGCTAAAAATTGAAAAATTACTGTAATAAAATAAACTTAGACATCCAATGAAATGTAGCAGTCAACTCAAAAAAACAATTTTTGTTTAGAAGGTTTTGGCTAAGGAGTGCTAAGTACAACGAAGAAAAGGCACAA